GAGAGAGAGAGAGAGAGAGAGAGAGAGAGAGAGAGACCAGATGCCTGTTCTGAATGAATTGGGCCAAATTTCTGCGCTGGATTTCTGCGCTGAATCCAGCGCAGAAATATGGCAATATTTATTCGAAAAAGAAAGCAGAGGCCTTTTCTGAATGAATTTGGCCATATTTCTAGGCTGAATCCAGCACCAAAAAAATGGCAGTATCCATTTGAAAAAGATCTCTCTCTCTCTCTCTCTCTCTCTCTCTCACACACACACACACACACACACACACACACACAAATAATAATAATAATAATAATAATAATAATAATAATAATAAAAAAAGGTCACAGGTGGCGCGTTGCAGCAAGGGCCCATACGCTGCCACCCGTCACACACAGAGAGAGAGAGAGAGAGAGAGAGAGAGAGAGAGAGAGAGAGAGAGAGAGAGAGAGAGAGAGAATCTCAGCAGCCTGTGCGGGGTGCTCCGCGCAGCCCGCCCAGACTGCGGGTTTCTCGAATGGCCCCTGTCAGACAAATCAAGGCGGTGTATCTTTCCATGTTCTAGCGGAAGATTCACTCTCTTTTTGCACATTTTGAGAGGAGTGCAGCGAGGCTCTCTCTCTCTCTCTCTCTCTCTCTCTCTCTCTCTCTCTCTGTGTGCGCGACCCAAAGATGGAAAGTGCAAAACTTGTCTACGTTGTTTTCTAACTTTTTCAATTTCTTTTTCTTTGGGGGGCGGAAGAATTGTCTTTTTTTTTTTTTTTTTTTTGTACCTACCGGTAGCTGGAGGCTCGGCAAGGTTCGGGATACCGGTAGGCTGAGCCACGGGCCTTAACAACCGGCAGGTCCTGGTGGTTTACCTGGCTCCCCTCTTTTTTAAAGATACACTACCCTCTCTTCTTTTGTCCCATGCCTGCTCCCCCTTTCCTCTCTAGCTCCCATACCATCTCAAATCCACCAGACTATTGGACGGGGGGGGGAAAGGGGTCAAGGAGGTCATCCATTGTTCTCATTGGAATTGGAGAGTCCACCTTGGTCCAGTCATGGAAACACAGCAAGTAGTCTTTGCTCAACCCTTCTCCCTCTTGGTTCCTCCCTGTATTCCTTTCCACCCTCCCGATCTTTCCCCTCTTTTTCCCCCCGAGCCATCTTGCGCAGAAGTCCTGCAATTTTTGGTCTGTGTCCTGTTGTGTATGTGTGTGGCGGATTTGGGCTTTGACATCTTCCCAGTGAGTTGCTATCTCTGTTTGGATTTGTTGTTGTATGTATTCAGTGAATTTGGGGCTTCCAGTCTCACCCTTTCCATCCCGTATGTGCAACGGCGTCTCCAAAGCGCCCATAGCACTGCCCTACGTCCCAATTTAAAGATGTTGTGGGAGAAGTTGTCCACCTGTTCTACAGGCCATGTTTCTAGTAGCAATGCTCTCCAATCCCATGGGTGTCGTTACTTCCAGCTGGTCCCAGACCCTGTCCCACCAATGCCAGAGTCAGATTGCTCCTAAACATTGCAGGAAAATATGTTCTATTGTTTCTGGCCTTTTACTGGAGGGGAATGAATTAGAGCAAAGTTTGCACCAGGGCAGGGCCCACCCACTTTGTTCCAAGGATGTCCTGTCTACTAGCCAGTCATTCGTTGGTAGGCAGCGATGTTCTACCTGCCATTGGAGGGAGGCCAATTGCGCAGGTTTCGTCTTAACTAGTTGGAACCATTTGACCCTCCGAAGTGATTCCGTGCTAATGTTCAGGTGCTTCAGCCATCTAGCCTCAACCTTGTCCCGTAGATTAGTCGCAGGACGGAGTAATCTGTATGTTGATTTAACTGTTATGCTGTGTAATTTTCTGATACATGTCTTACCCCTTCCGGAGGGAGAAGTTCATGACATTGTCCACTCCATTGGGTCTAACGGTAGTTGGGTGATTGGGGTGTTTGGGAGGAAGGTCATCCATTTATCTCCATTTTCCAGCACTCTGATTCGTGACAGTTCCTGCTTTGGAAAAATCTTGTTTCTTCTGGCACTGGTCTATGTAAGATGTTGGCATTGCCCAATTTATATATATCAACGGCCACCGGTTCTTTGAGGCTGCAACACACCACATTGTCTACCTCTCCCTGACTGCCCAGGATTTGCACCCAGTCGGATTCACGCAAAACGGGTCCCTTTCTTAGGATTTTCCACCAGCTCAGGGGGATCCGTTTTATTATGTCCTCGTGTGCAGCTTCCGATCTATGGCTATATCTCAGTTTTTGTTTGAGCAGGTCCCGGTCAATCCAGTTCATTGAGGTTGTGTCCCAGATATCGCTGATTCTGAGTACGCCCCTTTTCACCCATACTCGCCAGGGGGAATTTGTACAATGTACAGTGAAGGACCTGTCCCCTGGTGTCTACGATTCTCCTGTTGTCAAAAAGAGGTTGTCGTAATACTTCCTCCCATCTCTCCGGTTGGGTTTTGTCAGGCAGGGGGAGGTTCCTCAATGTCCTCAGAAGGGATGACCAGAAGGGGTCATTTCGCAGATCCTCTCTCGCCAAATCTCTTGGGGAGGACGGGTTCTGTTGTCTAAGGTGCCCTCTCGGTATTGGCCAACCTTTATTTTCTAGCCATGTTAGAGGGATGATATCCGATGTTGTTTCGGGGGCCAGTCTTGCAATTTGTTCTAGGGTCAGCCCCTTCCACGAAATGTCAGGGCAAAACATATGTCGTTTGAGCCATTGTAACACCAAAGCTTTGGTTTGTATTGCTGGGTTAATTATGCCCAGTCCTCCTTTGGCTTTTGGTTGTATTATGGATTGTCATGCAACCCTACTGATCACCTTGTGTTTTTCATGATCTCCTCTCCATAAGAATGCCGTTATCTGTCGTTGCAATGGGTGGAGGGTTGTTTTATCTAAAGCCCAGATGGCTGATCTGTACCACAGGGAGGCAAGTTTCCAAGCACCACATTGTTCAAGTTTATCACCAAGGAACGCCCCACCAATGGAGTATGTTTGTCCTTCCGTTGCATCAATTTTTCCAGCAGTGATTTGAGCAGTCCTTCATTATTCATTTGTGATCTACCATTTGTTGTTAATGTAATCCCAAGGACCCGGATGGGGGCCTCGTTGGGTACCCATTTAACCTGTGGCTGCTCCGGGGGCCTAACTCCTTGATGGTGAATCCTTGACGCGTCCACCATCAGGGTTGGGTCATCAGCGAACAACGAGCATACCGATATTGCTTCCTCTGGGATTGAAGCGACCTGGATTCTCTTGATGTCTTTATGTGCTCGTAGATTCACCGTCAGGGCTTCCATCACTATCACAAACAGAAAAGGTGCTATCGGGTCTCCTTGTCGGACGGACCTTTGGAGAGAGATGGGTGGTGCAAGATTGTCATTGACCATGACTCTGGTTGTACCGTTTTTGTGTAATATTTTCACCCATCGCCTGAAATGCAGTCCAAAGTTTTGTTTTTCCAGGCATTTGTCTACAAAGGTCCTGTCAACATGGTCGTAGGCCTTTTCAAAATCAATAAAATGATTGTCGCATTGTGTTTAGATTGTCTTGCCATTTTAGTCATCTCATTGACCAGGAGGATATTATCCTGGATATTTCTGCCCTTTATGAATCCAGTCTGGTCGGAGTGGATAATATCCTCCATTAGCTTAGTCATGCGATTGGCCAGTGTCTTTGTCACCATCTTGTAGACTACTGTGAGAAGGGTGATGGGTTTATAGTTCCTAATGTTTGAACTTGCTCCTTTTTTGCGTAGCAGTGTCAGAACCCCTTGACCTGTGAATTCTCCTATTTGACCTGTCTCTCACAGTGTTCGGTAATAGTCCATTTCGTCCTGGGAGATAGTCCCCCACATCGATTCTCAAAATTCCTTTGGTAGACCATCAATGTCCGGGTTTTTTTCCTCTTCCGTTGGCATTAATGTTGTCCATATCTCCTCCTTCATTAGGGGCATCTCCAAGGTTTCTCTCTGCTGGTCTGTGAGTGTTTGAGTGAGAGGGCGCACAAAATCTTCAATTTCCGTCAGTCTCTGCGTTAGTGGTGTGTCCCCACATTCAGATGTGAAGAGGTTTTGATTGAAGTCCCTTGCTATTTTTGTACATTTCACTGTTGAGATGTACAACGGTCCTCGATGTTGGTTAGGGTCCTCCATGGCCTCAATAGTTGTTTGACCTACTTTTGATCTAGCCATCACAAAAAATCTCGCACCCATTGCTCCCTCCATTTTCTGTCGGTAGAGTTTACCACGCATCCTCATTCCTTGCCATCGGTGCTCCATATGACCCAGGATCCGGGTTTCCAATGTCTGTATTTCATTGGCCAGTTCTGTTAGATGGGTAACATCGCTCTTGGTTTCATCTCCTTGCTGTTGGAGTTGTTGTAATCGATGTTGTAGGTCTATTTCCTCCACGTGGCGCTGTGCTGCCCGGGGTTTTGAGTACTTATTGCACTTGCGGCCCATAAAAGATAGGCCGTTGTTGAACCATGCTATGTCGTCCTGGATCAGGTCTTTTTGTTTTTGCCAAAAGGACCAGACCTCATTCAGGTAGTTTTTAAAAGGGTCTATGGTCAGCAGGGATGTGTTGAGCTTGTAAAAGCCCCGCCCTTGGTCCGGTTTCTTCCTGAAGGAGAAGATGGTAAGGCACATTGCGTGGTTCAGGCCTGGGTGAGGGCTACGGGGGAAGATTTCAGCCATTTGTAGGGGCCCTTGTAGCTCTTCTAAGATCAAAATCAGATCTATCCGTGACTTAGATGCACGTTCTGTGTTTGATTCTTTCGATAACATGTGAATTTGCGTTGTGTAGCGTGTCTTAGTCGAAATGAGTCGATGAGGTTAAGCGATTGGGATAAATTCGTGATGATTCGCTCATCACGCTCCACGTACACTGGGCATGGCGAGGGAATTTTCCATTTGTCTAGCCATCAGTCCGGGGCAGCGTTGAAGTATCCAGCCAGGATGATCGGGATACCTCCTGGAAGTTGGGTCTTCAGATTTTCGAAGAAGATCTGGCGCTTCCCCGGTTCATTTGGGGCATATACATTTAAAATGCAGACCACCTCCATTTCCAGCATCGCTAGCAGATAGACCCACCTGCCCTCTTCCTGGTCTGTCGCCCAATTAAGAGGCTCCACCCTTGTTTCTGGGGGCAGCCATATGGTCACCCCACCACTACCTGGCTTTGGGGCATGGGCGCTATAAGCTTCAAGTCGCCAGATCTCTTTATGAACGTTGAACTGCTAATTAAAAGTTGCCTATTCTGAATGTTGGGTGTGACTCCAACGTATTTGCCCCTTCTTTTATTTTTGGTTTGAAACCTCAATGACGAGGGATTATCCACTTGCAGGAGTGATAAGAGCAGCCCCTGCAAGTGGGCCCCGGTTGGAGGGCTCCATCTATTAGTGGGGAGCTGCACTTGCTGGAAATGGGGACAAGCATCCCAGAAGTATACAGAATGAAGGTTATTCGCAGGAAATTCATCTACGCATGCCTATTAGCGGGGGGAGACCCCCTTATTGAGTTGACTGAGTCTGTTCTAGTCTATCAGCCTTTAGGCCCTTGTGATTGCTAGGAGCTTGCTCCTGATGTCACTGATTCTCTCATCATTTCTCCTTGTATCCATTCCTACAAGGCTCTGTTCCCTTTCGCCCGATCTCTGCCTCCAGTTCTGAGTCCCTATGGAGGCTTTTCCCTTGGCCGGCTTGAGGGGTGAGAAGGGAAAGGGGGGGAACAGGTGGGCCAGGGCGGTGCCGTGTTGGTGGTATGTGTAGAGGCGAAGCAGGGGGCTGGTGTGGTAGCAGTCAAGGTGGGAGGGGTGGGAGCGATGTCCGAGGAGGTGGAAGGTGGGGGGGCAGGATCAGAGGTGCAGGATCGGGAGAGCAGGAATCTGGAAGAGCAATAAAATTTGTTGCCTGGTGGTCAATTTTCAAAATGTCGTCTCGGCAATCTCTTCCACTGTCTTTCTGTCGAAAGCCAGGGTTGCCACTTGATTGTTGTTATTGTCCAGGAAGCACAGCCTCCTGTTTTTGTCGATCCACACTTCAGAAAAGCTTTGGGTCGGATCGTGCTTTCTGGCTGGGTCCGGTTCTTTTAGTACCATGGGATGCAGCTCTTTAAATGCCTCTTCTGTCTTTGCTGTGTGATTGTGTCAGTTATCGAGGTTCTGGCTTGCATGAACCCAAATGTGTGTTGTTTTCTTTGATGGGCACAGCGCATCCTCCAAGCCGCCATGAGCACTTTGAGCCTAGTGTATGGAAGAGGTTGATCATAAGTGGTGACCACTGTGTTGCTCCCTCCAGGGGGCCTCCCACCAAGAGAGCACCCAGTCCCATGGGAGGTGTGTCTCTGTGAGATGGTGCCAAGCGGCGTACCACCAACTCCATAATTGAGCCACCATTGGACAGTCCAATAAGCAATGTTCCAAGGTGGCTCTTTTCTTTGGGAAAGCTTGTGTGCAGTACAAGCATGGGGGGACAGCTCACCCTTGTCTTCGAGATCAGTTCTTGCTGTTAGCCAGTCCGGTGTGGGCAGACACTTGTGAATAATTTGTCACTGCAGGGTTCTGTGATCGGTCGGGTTGATGCATGAGTGGGCCCAGCGTCCCTCTATTTTCTGTATGTTCTGCGGACTCAATTTCAATGGTGCAGCAGCTTTTCAAAAAAAAAACAGCTTCAATAGTTCAGGAGTTTTCACAAATATTCGTCTTGTTCTCAGCTGAAGCCAGGCACTGGCCCCGGTATCTCAAGTTCTTCTGCACATTTTCATAAGGGACGCTGGGCCCGGTTCCCGGCACGTGCTGCTCCTCACAAATTAACAAAAGAAAAAAGGTTTTTAACTGTATTGGATTGCCCAAGCAAGCCCTCTTTAGGCGATGGTGTGTACCTGGGAAGTGGTGCAGCATGAGTGAATTCCAGGAGACACAGTGAAAGATGTGAAAATGGACCTTGTGTGTGCCGGGGTGGGAGTGAGGTATGAAAAATAGAAAAGATACGTGTGTGTGTGGGGGGGGGGGATAGGCTATATATATATATATATCGTCACAAACAGAACTGCCCGGTAAAACCGTAGGCAGAGAGAGAGAAGAGGACAACAAACGAGGGGCTGTGACAAACTGTTTCGTCGGAGTTTCACCGACTCATCAGGAGGC